GACCAAAAACATGTATGTCGGGCTAATTGGTAACATAACTCTCCCTAATTTTGAGTGAGAGTGTGAATAGTTGTTTTTAACTCCGCATGGCCCTGTAGGGTAAAATGTAAAGGGTAAACTTGCAACCTATGTGCAACATAGACAATGTACAACCTGACTATAAAGACAACCAGACTTGCTACCTGCTCAGGCTGTACCCCGCCTCTTGCACAGTGATAACTAGACATGGGCACCAATGACCTCCCCAAGCCGTATAGGAAGAAGCAGGTAAATATTTTGGATAGATGAATTTTTCAGGCATGTCCAACTTGAAGGAGACCCCAGGGAGGATTGAGAACTTGCGAGAGAGATTATGCCTCTCGTGAGCACCTTGGTTGTGTAAAACAGTTAATAAACATATTATAAACAATAATCCTGGTAACTCAACGCATACAAAACCCAATTTAGACAAAAGGTCAAAATGTGATAAACCATACAAGAAATAGCCTGAGCTGCAGAGTAAAACTTATCATGAGCTATTACTTCCTTTGTAATGCATTTTACTGTTGTGATATGCCAGCTGAACATCTGCAAGATGAGGAATGCACCTTGTTCCTACATGCACAACATTTTAATGAAGCACTTAATTTTGGGCATTATGTGCTGTCAAGAAACAGCTTGGGCAACAATGCAAAACGATATACTAACAAATGCTGGAATTGAACATATTCTGGCAACAACCTTTATTGGTCTTTAATGGCCTCACTTCCTCCATCAAGTGAAATTTATGAGAATTTGATAGAATGTCACATAATGAGTCCAGCCAACGTCAAAGTGATGATGATGATCCTTGCATGACAATGGCCTAACATCCCCCCCCCCCCACACACACACAGCAGCCCACCTCCCAACACGCACTCGTCTCCTTATGCTAATTTGTATTCATCAGAAAAAGACAGCAATGATTAGAGATGTAAAGGGGATGTGTGATGATGCGATTCAGAGTGTGTGTGTGTAAGCAACAGGGATGGTTTCTATTTGAACAAAATAATAATTTGCTCCATACTGATGAATCAAATGACTGACACACACAATAACGCAGACATACGCACACAATGCTGTCAAGTTATTTTCTGTTATTTATTTATTTTTTCCCCTGCTGCCCACCCAAGTTTTTCCTTGCCGTGACCTGGGAGTTGACAGTTCGCTGCGCAACATATTTTTCACAATCTCTGGCAGTTTGCAATTAAGCTGGCAGGCAGAAAACACACGGTCAACATTCATAAACTCAAACACTGCCTCACATGCACAAATAATAACACAGGCAGACACAAAAATACAAGCCAAGTTACAGCATTTAGCCAAGAGGCTGACAGACAATAAACTATATTGATTGGGCTGCTCTTATTCAAAACTTAACTGGGAAGACACACGCCAGCAAGGATTACTGATTGGTCATTTAAACTTCTGCAAGTGAAACTACATAAAGATGAAAAAGAAATGCACACATCAATAAAAGCCCTTATTTTTCTATGTTAGAACACGTTATTGATCAAAGAAGCCATGTGGAATAATGGGCCAACTGAGTAAAGAGGACAAAAAGAGGAGCTAAGGAGACAAAGCGTGAAAACGAAAAAAAAGGATTAAAAAATGGTCTGCAAAGAGATAAATGTTACTTATTATAATTTATGCTCATCCACAGTCGACAATGTTCACACAGCAGGAATGTTCAGTTAGGCTGACTTGAAATAAATATGTTGTTCAGCAGGCATGTATTAAGTGCTTAAAGTGATCGTTTGGATTTGTTGAAGAAAGGTTTTGTGAAAAGGTGACAAACAATATCTTCTCTGCTTTAAGACAGCACTGGATTGGTTCATCAATCCAATCAAAACTAAATTGTTATTTACACCAAGTAAGATGTAACTTATAACATTTCAACAGAATCCAACAGAAAAATATCCGAACTACTGCTTTAAACCCCTGGACTATTTTCAGGTTTTCCTAAAGTTACAGTTAGAGTTTATTTGTCATACGCATCACATGTGGTACATGTAGTGGAGCGAAATTGTGTAAACAGGGTCCCAGTCACATCAAACAATAGAAAAAATATAAAGTGTAAAAAGAAACAGTAAATTAGAATCTGTGACATAAACTAAGCTATACGCTAAACAAACGCCAAATGGTACGTTAAAAGATCTAAGAGACACTAATGGTGCAAAATAATACACCGAACAGCAGCACATTTCTCAGAGGTTCTGTTCGGCTATAATTTGCACGCTTAATGCGAGCACTAACATAAACTAAACTAACATATACTAGGATTTATTCAAAACATGCACCAAAAATACAGAAACAAGGCGCCAATAGTGAAAAATAAATAAATTTACAGCGGCACGGTCCTATCGGCAGAGTGGTTCTGATGACAGTGAGGTTTCTCTTAGCAACATGGTTCTGTTGGCACCATGGTACTGTTAGCGGCGAGGTTTGGGTAGCGGCGTGGTTTGGTTAGCAGTGTTGGCAGGTCCCTTCAGCAGTATTATGATAATAAGGACTACAGCAGCTGCTAACCAGACTGTCCTTCAGAACCTGGTACAGCAGACAGAGAACATCGAAGGTTCCCCTGCGGAACCAAGCGGGTCTGCAGAGTTCGGTCCGATCAGGCAGACGGAGGATCTTGGTAGCAGCATTAGCAGATTAGCAGGTCTAGTTAGCAGGTCCCATCAGCAGCTCGATGTAACAATGACTGCACCACTTCCCTCCCAGACAGCCCTCCAGAACCGGGTCCGGCAGATGGAGAACATCCAGGTTTCCCCGCAGAACCAAATAGGTCCGTAGAGTTTGGTCCATGCAGGCAGATGGAGGATCATGGAGACAGCCGCCATGACAGGCCTGAGCCCGAGGCTGGAAGGACTGAACAGGATGGCACGATGGCAGGATGGCAACGACACAGAAAACTCCACAAGTGTGTCGCAGCCATACCCATACTGTGGATTTGCATTGTAGGCGCAAATAAAAAAAAAAGGTTAAAACAAAAACAACAGGAACAAAAAAAGATCGAGTTCAACAGGAGACTGTGAATCTGCGACTCGGCTGAGCGCGGCCTTCTTGGAATAAAGGCCTAAATACACATGAGAAATCCACAAATAGTTGTGCTTACATCATCTGCATTGATCAATTTTTCAAAAACATGCTTTGAAAGATTTGAGTATTAAAAATTGGGCCAGAAAATGTATAGCTTTCAAAAATCGCACAGCAAAAGCACAACATTTAGCCCAGTGCTTTGAAGACTCGCTGTGTGTTTCTTATAGACACCGGCAGTATACGGATCTGCTAAAATCCATTTCCATCTAGAAACTAAGGCTGCATTAAATATATATATATATATATTTTTTTTTTGTTTGTTTGTTTTGTTTTGTTTTAATTTGTTCTAAATTAAATTTTAAGTATAATCTTTATGTCTGTATTTTTACTCTAGACAAAAATGATAATGTTAGAGAATTTCTCATGATTAAAACTTGAGTACAGCCAGTTTATTGTATGTGTAATGTGATGTGAGAATGGTCATTCACTTTGAAAAAAAATTCTAAGAGGCAGCCTACTCTCAACTGTGAGCTGGCATAAATCAGATTAGAGACTTTATTAGAGGCTCATAGCAACGTGGATGATATAAATCTGCACAGTAATACACTAAAGCTACGTCATGGCCTGCCACAAGCTCTCAGCCACCATACAAAGTGCCGTTTCTCTTCGCCAAGGTCAGAAAGACACAGAGGGGCGAACAAAAAGTCATATTCTCTCTACTCTTCTGTCTGCCTTTTATACTTTCTCTTCTCGCTCTTCAATTATACCTCACAATTCCCCAATCCTAATGTCATGGAGCTCAGAGGTGAGCAGATTCCATTTCTATCCATCTTTAGAGAAATCTGCTGTGTCACATGTCAAGTACCATGCTTGGACATTTAGTTCTTTTTTTTTTTCTCCCTTTGCCTAAGTAGCTAGCTAAATATCCAAATGCATTTCACTCCTCTTTATCCTCTCTGTAGTTTGCAGTGAACTCAGTGCCATTTTACTCCCCTTTATAGCATGTTTCATCTCTCCCTATCTTCAAGCTTAGCATTTTAGACAAATCAAAGTTAAAAGGAGAAAAGTAGATGACAGAGTGGGAGAGTGGATTGCAAGAAAGCAGAGCAGATGAGGGAAAGAAGTGAGGTGAGATGGAGGGGACGAGGGAAGGAACAGAGTGCAGAGCGTAAAGTAAAATTGCATTCAAATGGAAGAATAAAGACGTGCGAAAAGGTGAAAGGCATAAAAAATGCATTTGAAACAGCAGAGGCTGCTTAGATGTCATAGATCAGGTATAAAGATGATTTGTGTAGTTGTACAACAAAGTTTGACAAAAGTCGTCACCACTAATCAAGGGATGTGTGGTACTTTGTGTTCCAGCATATTAAATTCAGGCTCAGTCGTTAAACAAGAACAGTTATATCAGTTTGTTAGAGAATATGTATGTGTTCAGTTTGAACATTTTGTCTGATTAATAACTAAACCTCCATTTCAGCATTGCTAGACAAACAATGCTGGTAATTAATTAATTTATTTTAATTGAAAATTTATTAGCAGATAATTTTTGCTACATGATTTTTCATGTGCTCTAACAAACTTCACACAACAACACTAAATGAATCATGGCATTTCAGTTGCACCAGTGATTTTATGTTACTAATTAGCAAAATTAATAAATTCTAATGAAATAAAAGCTCTGAGTATGAAACTTTTTTTTTTTCAGCAACAATTTCCCCCTTGTGATCATAACATGACATCTTACAAGGCAACAGGAATTTAGACGGAAATGTTATTTATCCAGAAGGTGATGATGCAGTGTATATATATATATATATATATATATATATATATATATATATATATATATGTGTGTGTGTGTGTGTGTGTGTGTGTGTGTGTGGGTGTGGGTGTGTGAGACTTTTAAAATTGGAATATGAGCTAAAATGAAACAAGCCTACCTTCTCAGTGTCCATCGCAGTGATGACCCACACACAGTGCGCATTGTTCTCATATTGAACAGGGTAGTTAGGAGAAGTTATGACCCCTCTGGGCCCCCTTAGATTGCTGCCACAGGTTCGAGCTACAAAACAAAAGAAAGCAAATGTGAAAGACAAAGTAAGAAAAGGCTTTAGGAAAAGATTAAGGGGGACATCAAAATTATGCTTGCATATCTCCAGCATCCACTTATCTCAAAAGCAGGACGGACACAAAAGACTGAGGTAATGTCACGCAAGAAAATGGAGAAAACAATGTTATCCAATACAAACAGAACTGTTTCTGCAGTTTAATGAACACTGGATTTTGGAGATTAGGTTGGAAATGCATCCCAACATATCTGACTCAATAAAAGATTTATCTGGTTTTAAAAAGCCTGTTTTGTGCTTTGATTTTCTACAGTTACAATTGATGTCTTTTTATTGAGTGATTACTCAGTTTTTGACTTTTATGCCAGTTCAGCAAACTTCTCTGAAACACTGTTTTGAAAATGAATTTTATTCAAGTAAGAGCTCTGCAGTGCTGCAGCCTTCCACATAAATCAATCATATCTGAAACACTTCTGTGAACTACTGGGAACAGTTCTGGTGTGCACAGCAGACAGCAACACATTTTGTCTAGGTTTTGGCCACAATACAAACATATAAGGGCACTAAATAGCTAAATTATTACATATTATGATGTTTATTCATTGGGATAAAAAAAAGGAAAAAAATCTACGTCAGTAAATGTCTAAACAACAGGTTATATTTAGGCATCACTTATACATGGATTTATATTAATTTAATGTTGTCAAGTGAGGCTCAATGGGATCAACCTGTCTAAATAAATATTGAATGAAAAGTGTTGGCAATTAATTAATTGGAAGTAAAACTGAAAAAGAAAAACAGTTTATTTACAAAAAAAAGTTTAAGCTTTAATGAAACCTAAATTTAATGCTGTTTTTTAAATTATCTTTTTATTACATGACAGTTTGCAGATTCATTCCAATCCTCTTTTCCTCCTACCCACATTTTAAGAAGTTTGTGAAAAACCTGTGAAAAAAAACAAAATAAAAAATATATATATATATATATTCAAGTCAATTCAAAATTACTTTATTAATCCCAAAAGGAAATTATTAGTTGTTGTAACTCATTATCCTCATTTAATTAAGAGATGTCTTAGATGCTGATGGCTGTAGGCAGGAATGATCTCTTGTAAAGGTCCATCCCACAGTGGATCCTAAGAAAATGGCTGCAGATGCCGTCTGATCCATCCACCCAGACTCGGCTGGCCTCTTGGTCCCCCCCGGGCTGTACCGCCCGAATACCGGGTGGAACTCAACTGAGAGCGATGGCCACTCCTCCCAGTAGTCTGCCGAGCTCCTCGTCACTGCGGACAGCCAACTGTAGGTGCTGAGGGACGATACTGTTCTTCCGCTGTCATGATCCGTGTTTCCTGCTAGTTCCAGGATCTCAGTGGTCAGGCACTCAAGCACAGCTGGCAAGTAGATGAGAATGCGTCCACAGAACATCCTTTTCAACTCATTTGAGATTTGGGGCTGTAGTTGAGATATTATTTGAGCTTTTTAGATGTTAATCAGCTGCTGTTGATTGTAGAAAACTGCCTTGTTGCCATGGTTACGCATCATAACAAATGTCCAAAACTAAAAAAGTTTCAGTAAAAATCCTTTCAGCTGCACAGCATCTGATGCCAGAGGAAACCATCATCCAAAAAATGTGATTTACATTCAGAAAAAGAGGAATTAAAAGTTTCCAAAAGCAAAATCTCAGAATGAAAGTAACAGAGCTGCATTTAAAAAAAGTCATTTTATAGGTAGATAAGACGGTTAGGAAGCCTGGGTGTATTGTGTAAAATATGTAAACCTTCAATCTATAGTATGTAAATCTTATAATAGGCCATTGAACAGTTGATCGTCTGCACTGAGCTTGTTTAACATGATTGAGCAGCTGCCTGTTGGAACATTACCACGCCTAAGAATGTCAACTATTTTTGTAAAATTGTTCTAGATATAGATTATTTTTCCTTATCCCTAAACATGACGATCAGTTCTTTTTTTTTTTTTTTTTTTTAAACAACAATTGTGCACAATTTTTTTCTAAATAAAATCCTATGTGGTCTTTTACAAGTTTACAAAAAAAAAAAAAAAATCCAGGGAATTATGATATCAAAGTAGATGAATTGGCCAATTCATCTACTTTGATAAGGATAACTGTTATACCTTAACAGAATAATGGTCAACCTGCAGGCAAACAAACAAAACCATCCATTCAGAATGACAAAATATGAAAACAGGGAGACAGAAAATAGAACGAAAAAGAGCAAAATTTCAAAAGATGGTCATTTAAACAAAATGAACCAAAGGGGAAATTGGAAAAATACAGGGCAAGAAAACGACAGATGATGCCAGGGGAGAAGGGAAGAGTCGAGGAGCCCAGACGACTGATCCGACTATTAATTAGAGAAGAGAGCTGCAGCGCAGTGTGATACACACAGCTACATGGACACACAGAAACATATTCATTGCAATTCATCTTAGAAAGCAGCGTCTAATTAACAGTAACGTCTCAGAAGAGAATGAGAGAGGCTCACGGGTTTGAATCCCTCATGAGTGATCACACCAGATAATGCAACACACCAGAGCGGGAGTTTTATGTAGTCATTTTTTTTTCTCAGCTTTTCTTTTTACAGCGTACTGATCTCCCTTTTTCACCTTTTCAATCTCCCTTCTTCTTTGTGTTTCTGTTTGTACGTATACCCTGTGGTGAAAGATATCTAATGAGACAAATAAATGTCAAAACAAACTGAATGTAATTCCAGCTGGCACTGTTTTAACACTGCATTGTGTCATCCTGGACATTCCCCTGGAGAATTCAGGCACATCGTGTATATTTTAGCCGTACGAAACTAAGACAATGAACTTTCTGAAAACATGCGCTTCGTGAATTAGACTTTTATTGCTTCTTTGATGGAAAATAAATTGCTAATGTTCTGCAGGGTTCATATTGTTTTATTATATTTTGAAGTATATTAAATCATTTTATACTCAATTTAATAACTGTATTATTGGAATATTTCAATCATGAATGCGCATGCAATAAAGTTGCAATACAGTTCTTACTGAGTACTATTACGGTCACCATTTTCAGTAACATTTTTAAATACAGCAGCATAGGCAGTCTTCTGGAAAATGTTTATTCCTAGATGTGTTCCCTAATTTGAACTACAAAACAACATTTAATTTGAGTGAATACTTAATATTTGTCTTCCGTTTTAACATTTATTTTTATTTTTTCCATATACATATATAATCACAGCAACACAAACATGGAGGAAATTCTGATCCAAGTTTTAGGAGAAAGCTAAATTTGGAATTTCTCTTTCACTGGTTCACTCTCACATCATCGATTGTTTATGACAGGAGTTGCCAGAATCTTGAATTTAGGCATGTTGCTGCGGACACAGAGAGCCACGCAGTCAAAACACGAACACAAATATACACACACGTAACAACACACAGCAACACCATAACATGATGTGACAGCGACCCTACAGTATGTGTCTGAGCACAGGGACTGGCTGTCCGTCAAACACACCGACAGTTCAAGGCCCATACTGCGGCAGATATTAGTGCTGTGATATTATCCTTTGGATACTTGCTTTCTGTGCATGTGCGTTTGTGAATGCATGTGCACACACACACATTGGGGTGTGAATGCTGGTTGTCTCCCTTCTCATTGTGGAGCAATAAACCGAACAGGGTATTGTCAGTAAACATGAGGTCAGTGTGAGCCCCTGGATCCCGTCGCTGCCACTCATGTATTTTCTTTTCTTTTCTTTTTTTAAGTTTGTTTGTTAAGTTTGAAATTAAAAAGAGGGTTGAAAAGCAAATCCTAATATATAGCTTTAACTATTTTAAATAATCTTTGTCTTATGTAGAGCTCTATGGCAATACAGTACAAATGTAAATTGAGATTAAATGCAATTTTCAAGTGCTTAAATTATTTATTTATTTATTTATTTTTGCTTATAGCTGTCAGCACTAAAATGAATGACCACTGCACAATATCACAATATATAATATAGAATATAATATGCTTTAGCAGTGTATTTCTTTAAGGTATTTTACAATTGTGTAATTTTATCTTCTTGAAAAAGGAAATATTTCACCACTGTCAGTCTTTCAGTTTGTATACGTTTTCCAGTCAATAAAAGATTTATTAATAAGCCAAAAAAAAAAGTTTAACAGCTAATATTATGAAGTGAGTTTTAATAACTAAATAGAAAGGTTATGATCTAAAAATATCGTACATGTTGTAGACAGCTTTTTGTATGTTTTCTGTTTGGAAAAGAATCCTCACTTCTGATTGGACTGACCTGCTGAGGGCTTGTTTGAGCAGGCCAAGACCAAATAGAAAGTTTGCCTTTTATTTATTTATTTTTTTAACAGCTAAATAGCTCCAATCTACAAAAAGTAAATAAATATAATAAAATAAAATAAATCTTATGCAGTATTCTTTAATTTTTCCACATCTTGCTTTTTGAGAAAAATTAAAAAGAAAATTATTGTGGTTCCTGCAAACTCTATTTTATAAACCTTTTTTACAGCAGTTATTTTGAGGTACCCAGGCATTTACATTGAATTTTATGGTCATTTGCAAGCACAACGATTAGCAGCACTAACTAGCTGCAAGGCTTCCAGTGTAGCCTGGAGCACTAGCAAAAAAAAAAAAAACATTACTTTCTGCCAGAATAACCATGTAATGAATTCAAAATAAATGGTGACGTTAAGGTTTACTAACTGAATAAGTATTTCTATGAATCGTTCAACAGTTGTTGTTTTTCTTAAGATGCCAGCAATTTCTCTTAGATATGGTAGTCCTGAAGTTTAAATCACAATTACAAATAAAAAAAAAATACAACATTTGAAAAAAACACAATTACATTAAGCGAAACCAGAAGAAGTGGGAGGTGGAACCATTGGGAAATCTGAGACATCACTGATTGGATGACGGGATGTTTGAGCCTCCCACCTGTACAACCTCTTCCAATTTTGCTTAATCTAATTGCGTTTCTTCTGATGTATTTTTTTTTCCAAATGTTTTTTCAAATGAGTTTTTTCAAATGTTGCGTTGTTTCAAAGGTTGCGTTGTTTCAAATGTGATTGCATTTTTTTCAAACGTTGCTGCTTTTTTTTTCAAATGTTGCTTTTTTTTCAAATGTTGCATTTTTTTCAAATGTTGCATTTTTTTACATGTTGTTGTTGCATTTTTTCAAATGTTGTTGTTGCATTTTTTCAAATGTTGATTTTTTTTCAAATGTTACATTTTTTTCACATGCTGCGTTTTTTCAAATGTTGCATTTATTTTCAAATATTGTTGCATTTTGTCAAATGTAGTTGTGTTTTTTCAAGTGTTGCATTTTTTAAAATGTTGCATTTTTTATATAGTTGCATTTTTTCAAATGTAATTGTATTTTTCAAATGTAATTGTGTTTTTTAAAATACTGTTGTTTTTAATTTGTAGTTGTGTTTTTTTTTTTGTCTGTTTGTTTTCTAGCTGTGCTTATTTAAAATATAGTTGTGTTTTTTTATTTTTTTTTTATTTTTTTTATTTTTTATGTCATTGTGGTTTAAACTTTATGGCCACCATATTTAGCCCTGCTAAGACTAGCTACTATGTATTGTCTCATCAATCCTGTCAAAAATAAACGATTTTTCTCAAAATGGAATTTGTTCAACAAGTTATCTACATCAGGTGAGATTTTAGTTATTTTTGTATATCTATTTACAGAACCCCACAAGATTTCAGTTAAACCTTTATGCACTAAGGCTTGGTTTTGAAGATGTCTTTAGACTAAGGTATTTTATTGTGCAAGGATGTCTTTACGTTTTTATTATTTTATTATCCTGAGCAATTTATATTCTTTAAAGAAACATAATTACAAATTTTAACTTACAAACATGTATTGTGTGTATGCCTACATCTGAATAAGCACACGTGTCACTGCCATGTAATTCCTTTTCAATGCAAAAACTATTAAGAAAAAATAATGAGGTACTTGGATTACATAGTCTTACTTTGTGGTTAGTATGCATGTCTCGTTTTATTGCTGTATTACCCACAGCAGCATAGAAAAGACAGGTCTAAATCTGGACCTCCAGGGCAACCATACTTGTGATAATAACTTTTCCTTGCTGGGCTAAGATTAGACAAGATTGTCCTTGATCACAAAACAGAAATCCAGATGCCCAGGTCCGCATCTGGCAGCTACCACCACAATAATAATAATTTAAAAAAAGCTTTATAATGTTTCAATGAAATGTATCTGCATTTATATCGAAGAGAGAAAAAAAAATACATAAAAACTAACAAAATGCATCATCTTGTATTCTTCAGAATACTACAGCCAGTACTGAGACTGGCAAAATGTTAAATCTACTAGAATGAACTGGACTTCTGAGATCTTTTTAAATATTACAGTAAATATCACATCCCAATGTCAAATTTCAATGTTAAAAATGATTTGGTGACATGTTTGGTGTCTTAATGTTATGTGTGCTTTCACTAATACCACAAAGCTAAAAAAAAAATTGCAATATACACCTTGATGTTTTGGGGGTCGATATTATATAAAATACCTGTTATAGATGTGAAACTTGAAAACCTAAGAATGGTAAACCCATTTCAGGGAGACAGAGTAAAACTTACTTCTGCAGATGGGTCTGTGGTCACTCCAAGCAGCCAGTGTGTCAGTAACTCGTTGACAGGTGATGCTTTTAGAGCCCTGCAACACGTAGCTGTCATCACAACTGAACTGGACGCTGGAGCCAATTCTAGTTGGGGAGAGAAAATGGCAACGATATTTCTAAGGAAAAGGTAAACATTTTATTTATGGGATTACAAAAAAACTACAAGAAAAAATGGAAAGAAAAACTACAATTGCTTCGTTTTTCACATATGCCTTTTCTGTCTGTTTTGAATCCTTTTAAGGCCTATCCCACATGCTTGCCATAAATTGTTCTAATCATTATTGCTTTTTTTATATCTCTAAAGCCCTGCCGTCTATCACAGCAGGAGAATATTCACCCATCTCTGTGAAAACTTGCATGCCATCTTGTCTTGTCTTAATGTCTATGTTCTTCAAGGCCAAACACTCAAACACAAACTCCAGTTGTTAAATGACTCCCATCCTGTTTTAGAATATTGTGGATAGAGTGCAATCAGGCTAAAGATACAGTTCCAGATTGCCACCAAAGCTTTAACTACACATGTATTGTGCTCACTATGAATACACAAAATAAGTTAAATGAAAAAATTAGTTGCTGGAAACAGTCTTGAAAACAGCCCGTACTTAAAATGCATCAAAGAAAAAATTGCAACGTTAGCTGCTCCTGATGATAAAAGGGCAGATTATGAGAACACATGATCATTTTCTTATCACTGCTGCATGTATGAAAGAACATTTTTAGTTGTACTGATTAGATAACGGGCAGCACAGTGGTGCAACTGGTAGAGCTGCTGCGTCTCAGCGAGCAGATTACCCTGGTTCAGAACCCGGTCTGGGGACCTTTCTGGGTGAAGTTTGCATGTTCTCTCCGTGCATGCGTGGATTTTCTCCAGTACTCCAATTTCCTCCCACAGACCAAAAACATGTATGTTAGGCTGATTGGTAACTCTAAATTGTCCCTAGGTGTGAGTGAGAGAGAAAAATTGTTTGTCTCGTTTGTCTCTATGTGTCCATGTGATGGACTGGAGACCTGTCCAGTGTGTATCCCGCCTCTCGCACAGTGATGGCTGGACATGGCCACCAGTGACCCCTGCGATCCAAAAAGGAAAAAGTGGGTAAAAGATAATGGATGGATGGATGATTAGATAACAGACATGGTGGGCTGATCGGTTGTGTACGCCAAGTTTATTTTTATTGGCCAGCGTGTCACTTGAGAACTGTTTTTTGCAATTCTTTGTGTGTAACCCCTGTGTGGTTGTACCCTGGAGAAAGAAACTGGGACATGAAAGCAGCCCTGGAGTTTAACCTGAGGCTACAACATGACACAATCAACATGATAAAACAGTGAGGCAGGGTTGCCTGAATACCCTATGAGATGGTGTTGCATAAGTGAATGTGTAATATGTGCAAGAAACTATATATATATATATA